TCGGCCTCATCTGTAGAAACCTGAGCCGGTTGGAGCACAGGGCCGAGGAGGCAGGGGCGGAGCCAGAGGGGCTGGGAAAGTGCGGGGACGGGGGTGGGGCTAGGCGGGGGCGTGGCCGCGGCGGAGGCGTGGAGAGGGGGCTTCCGCTGCAACCCGGCCTGGGAAGGAGCCCGCGGAGGCTGGGGCTGCCCTGGGAATGGGGTGGGGTGGGCGCCCGGGTGGAATCGGATTCCACTGCCTCCTTCCCAGAGCAACTTGTTGGCAAGATCAGTTCTCCAGGCCGACTTCATCCGGGGCTTGGAGATCTATGGGGCCACCGAGGCAGGACTGAAGGCTCGGGAGATTGGAGAACTGGGTTTGTCTCCATGCCTGCCCCCGGGGGCCCTGCCCTCAACTGCCTCCTTGGCACTCTGACCCGGAGCCCTCTTGTGGTCGCCTTCCCCCTGCCCCCACCTGGTCTCCCTGAGACTCTTGGAGTGACGCAAACTGTCCCCTCTTTGTTCGGCATGTGACCTGCAGCGTGCACCCGGCTTGAAGAAACGGCCCCAGCCTGAGGCCGCTGGAGCGAGGGCCCAGCCCCTGTTGGCTGCTGCCCTCTGTTGGAAAACCCACGCAGTTCTCTAGCTTTGTTAGCAAGGGACTTGATTGCCTCCTCTGGAAAATTGTTTTTAAAAACCTGCAGATTAGTTCCAGTATGTGAAGGATGTGTCTTTCCACGGGGCGTCCTTCTGCAGTGCCCAACCCGCACAACTGTTCAAGCTGAGTCTGCTTCTGCCCTTGTATATTCCTTGGTGCTACCTTGTAGTGTGTGGTTTTCTAGAGTTTTATTTGGGATCATTCTTTGGGGGTGGGGCCTCCTTCTTGAGGCCACGGTTTTTCTCTTAATCACCTATACACATATTCCCATATACTGGTGGGAGCCACATGGCCTCTTGTACTTCAGTTTCAGCTGCTGAACCCTTTTGTTAAATGAAATTGTTAAATATTTTCTTTATTTTTTAATCATTTTTTAAATGTTTTATTTATGTTTAAGACAGAGAGAGACAGCATGAGTGGGGATGGGGCAGAGAGAGGGAGACGCAGACTCTGAAGCAGGCTCCAGGCTCCGAGCTGTCAGCACAGAGCGGGACACAGGGCTCGAACCCACGAACTGTGAGATCATGACCTGAGCCGAAGTCGGACAGTCAACCGACTGAGCCACCCAGGCGCCCCTTTATCTTTTTAATTTTTAAAGATATCCTTACATTTATTTTTTGTAATAATTTTTTTAAATGTTTATTTATTTTTGAGAAAGAGAGAGACAGAGTGCGAGCAGGGGAGGGGCAGAGAGAGACACAGAATCCGAAGCAGGCTCCAGGCTCCTGCAACTGTCAGCGCAGATGGATGCGGGGCTCCAAATGATGAACCATGAGATCATGACGTGAGCTGAAGTTGGTCGCTTAACGGACTGAGCCACCCAGACGCCCCAATAATTATTCAAAAAATTTTAAAATTGTTTATTTATTTTTGAGAGAGCAAGTACAAATGGGAGGGGCAGAGAGAGAGGGAGACACAGAATCCTAAGCAGACTCCTGGCTCCCAGCTGTCAGCACAGAGCGGGACACAGGGCTCGAACCCACGAACTGTGAGATCATGACTCAAGCTGAGGTCAGACACTTAACCTACTGAGCCACCAGACTCCCCTGCCCCAGTACTTTTTTAACGTTTATTATTTTCTTTAAAAAATTAATGTTTTACTTATTTTTGAGAGAGACAGAGACAGAGCACAAGCAGAGCAGGGGCAGAGAGGAAGGGAGACCGAATCCAAAGCAGGCTCCGGTCTCTGAGCTGTCAGCACAGAGCCTGACGTGGGGCTCAGACTTGTGATCACATGTTGCCAGATATCCCCCCGGGAAGCAAAATCGCACCTGGTTAAGAACCACTGCCCTAGAAGGTACCACTTACACCTTTAAAAACTATGGGGGCGCCTGGGTGGCGCAGTCAGTTAAGCGTCCGACTTCAGCCAGGTCATGATCTCGCGGTCCGTGAGTTCGAGCCCCGCGTCGGGCTCTGGGCTGATGGCTCAGAGCCTGGAGCCTGTTTCCGATTCTGTGTCTCCCTCTCTCTCTGCCCCTCCCCCGTTCATGCTCTGACTCTCTCTGTCCCAAAAATAAATAAAAAACGTTGAAAAAACTATGTATATAACTCACGCTTTTAAATAGTATGCTTAGGGGCGCCTGGGTGGCTCAGTCGGTTAAGCGTCCGACTTCAGTTCAGGTCACGATCTCGGGGTCCGTGAGTTCGAGCCCCGCGTCGGGCTCTGGGCTGATGGCTCAGAGCCTGGAGCCTGCTTCCCATTCTGTGTCTCCCTGTATCTCTGCCCCTCCCCCGTTCATGCTCTGTCTCTCTCTGTCCCAAAAATAAATAAAAAACGTTAAAAAAAATTAAAAAAAAAAAAGATTGGTGCACTTTGGTGTGTGTGTGGTATACTGTTTTTTTTTAACGTTTATTTATTTTGAGAGAGACAGAGTACAAGTGGGGGAGAGGCAGAGAGAGACGGAGACACAGAATCGGGAGCAGGCCCCAGGCTCTGAGCTGTCAGCACAGAGCCTGATGCGGGACTCGAACCCACGGAGCCGTGAGATCGTGACCTGAGCCAAAGTCAGACGCTCAACCGACTGAGCCCCCCAGGCGCCCCTGCTATACTTACATAAAAATGTACAGATCAAAGCATCCAGACAGAGAATTTTATGAAATGAAGGTGAAAATCTCCCTTTCTCTAGTCTCATTACCCCAAAGTGACCCCCAATTGAAAACGCGGTAGGTATGGGGCACCTGGGTGGCTCAGTCGGTTAAGCAACCCACTCATGATTTTGGCTTGGGTCATGATCTCACGGTTTGTGAGTTTGAACCCCACCTTGGGCTTTGTGCAGTGAGGAGCCTGCTTGGGATTCTCTCTCTCCCTCTCTTTCTCTCTGCATCCCTCCCCTGCTCACTCTCTCTATCTCTCAAAAAATAAATAAATAAACTAAAAAAAAATGTAGTAGGTGTTTTTTTTCTCTATGCATATGGAAGTATATATACATTATTTATAATGGTATACATATTACATGTTACATATTATATATGGGAAACATACATTATATGTGTTTACATGTATATTATATACACACACACGTATAAAATCTGGAGGGCAGGCAGCCTACTGTTATGCACCTGCCTTTTACCAGTCTGCATGTATCTCTGCATATATCTCGGGGATGGTTCTAGGGAGTGAACACCTGACCCACCCTTTGTACTTGCTGCTCAGTGACCCATCCATGGGCTACACTGTATCTATTTGAGCCATTCTACCGCTGATGAACATTCAGGATGTTTCCTGTTCTGTGCGGCTACAGTGTTGCAACCAACATCCTTGGACATATTCTTTTCCCCACGCGTGTATCTTGGAAAGCAACACATTTCCTGAAGCGCAGTTTTTGATGGATCAAAGGGTGTGTGCATTTTAAATCATAGCAGCTGCTGCTTTAAACAAACAAACAAACAACAAACAAACAAAAAAGTGTTCCGTGCTAAAAGAAAAGTAAGGTAGGAAGTAAGAAAATGGGAGTGTGGCAGGGCTAGGGAAGGGAAGACAGGTTAGTGCCACGCTCTTCTCCAGAGACTCTTGGATATTATGACCTGTAATGTGATGTCAGTGGTCCAGGTGAGACAAGGCCGGGAGGGATGGGGTTTAAGGGCAGCGTATGGCCCTGGCCACTCTGCAGCGTCCCCAGCCAGCATCCACCAGCACCGGACCTGGTGTGGAGGAGATTCCCCCAGGGAAGGCAGGGAGAGGAGCCCGAACTGGAGGAGGAGGGGCAGGTGACGAGATGGGAAACAGAAAGATGCAGGGGTTCACAGCTCTTCTCTGTACATGACTAGAACTGTCCCGCCCCACATGGTCACCAGGTAAGAGCCGGTCTCTTTCTCTTCCACTCTGGATCCTCCCCCACCCAACCTCTTCCAATGGAACCGGTCCATTCCCCGGCTGTCCCGTCCACCTTCCCAGCTCTTCCCCATCCCTCTGACTCTACATCAGGGTGGGGCTACGGGGTGGAAGCGGGGGGGGGGGGGGGGGATCACCTAGACCCTCTCGTCCCCATTGGCAATGACCGCCTTTCAAGGCTTCCTCCTTCAGGGGCAAAGGCATCATCACCAACGTGTCTTCGGTGATTGACAGAAACCCCTGTCATATTGTTAGCAATGTACTCAGACCCCACAGACCTAGGCCAGGGCTGTCCTGACATGCTGAGGTCCCCGCTACGACCCTTTGTTCTGGCATTGAAAGTCATGGTGCAAAGTCGTGTGTGCGCGCGCGCGCGCGCAAAGTGCCACCGACGTCTGGGTCTGCTAATAGGTCAGACAGACATCTGGGGCACAGTCCAGTGAATAGGGCAGATTTTTTTTAAGAGAAAGGGGGGGGGGGGGCTAGGGGTCAAGGCGTGAGACCGCCCCAGCTGGAATGGAGAGTGGGTGTATGGGAACAGGGGTAGGGCTTAGAACACGCAGACATTCAGGGGTTAAGGTGAGGACTTGGGCTCTGCGCCTGGGGGCCTTCTGGAGCCATGGGGTGCTCTACGATCAAGGACTGAGCAAGAGCGGGCGGGAGGAGTCTGCATAGGGAAGGCTCTTGGGGCTGGGACCCTCTGTGCCCTTCTAAGGAAGGCCTTTACGGGAAGCTTCTCCGTGGTAGTGGGCGCAGAGTGCTCCCCTCAGGGGGTCACCATGCGGGTGCCTAGCTAGAGTGGGCAGCTCAGAAGGGGGTTGGGGGCTCTGGCGGGGGGTAGCAGCCTAGGGACAGTAGAGGCTCAGAGGCCCGGGCAGCGCATTTCTGAAAGAGGGCGGTGACTCAGGGGGGCCTCGCTCTGAAGGAGTGGGTTCTCGCGGGGGCGTGGCCGGGGGCGTGGCCTCTCGCGGACTCGCCCGCTCGGGGCGTGGCCTCGAGGGGAGCCCTTGAGACGCAGCCGCAGAGGCGCGGGTAGGTGGGACTCTGGGATTCTGAGAGGGTCTGGGAGCTTAGGCTGGCGGGAGGGGAGTTCTTTTCTTTCCCCCCCTTCCTTCCTGCAGACAGCGAGCCCCTTTGAGGCCGACACGAACGTGACCAGACACGTGCAGTAAGGGCTGCTCGTGTTGAATTCCGAGGACGGCCCGGCAGGTGTTGGACACGCTGGGCCTCACCTCCCCAAACTCCGGGTGCCTCAGCGACACCGTGCACGTGCCTTCGTGCAGACAGCCGGACCGGACATTCCCTCGCCCAGCTCCAGGAGTCCTCAGAAGCGAGGGTGAGTTGTCCAGAGGAGGGGAGGGCCCCCACCCTGGGCTGGGGAGAGAGGAGAGTGGGGACCCTAAGATGGGGTGTTCCTGATGCCTGGTCCCACTCTTTCCCAGGGTTTCCTGCCTCCTCTCCTCCTGCCCACGTGGTTTTCTCTGAGTCGCTGGGAGCAAAGTTTGCAGCTCGGTGGACGGACGAGCTCATATAAAGCAAAGTTCTTGCATAAAAGGCCTCGAAGAGGCGTGGCCACCTGTCACCTCCCCTCCCCGGTCATCCAGAGCCGGGGCTGCTGTTAGCAAAGAAGTCCCACACGTGGGAATAGAGGGACAAGCAGGTCAATGGAACAGAATTAGAGACCCTCCCCCCGCCCCCCCCCCCCAAGACCTGGACGTTTAGCGACAATTGGCGACATCTCAGCCTCTGACAGAAAGATGGAGTTTTTAAGATGTGGTGTTCAGACAACCAGATGGGCGTTTGGAGAAACACGAAATTATACATAGGTCTAAAACTGTAGTGGTGATGGATTGAAACATTTTGTGAATATTTTGAAAACTCGGGAACTGCATACGCTTAAAGGGTGAATGTCGTGGTATGTGAATTATATCTCAGTAAAAATACTTTTTAAAATGGAGGACCGCCCCCCGCCCCAAGTGTACTGACGTCTGCAACTTTGAAATGCATTGAAAAGTTAGATGAATTCGCGGATGGATAGAGGGATGCATACAGTGGATAGAAACACAGTAAGACAATGGGGCGCCTGGGTGGCTCCGCCGGTTCAGCGGCCGACTTCGGCTCAGGTCATGATCTCGCGGTCCGTGAGTTCGAGCCCCGCGTCAAGCTCTGTGCTGACAGCTCAGAGCCAAGAGCCTGCTTTGGATTCTGTGTGTCTCCCTGTCTCTGCCCCTCCTATGCTCATGCTCTGTCTCTCTCTGTCTCTCAATAATAAATAAATGTTAAAAAAAATTTTAAGAAATACAGTTGGACAAGAATGGTAAAATGTTAGTAACAGAATCTAAGTGGCAGACATGTGGGTGTCCACGGTAAACTTCCTTTAACTCTTCTGCATGTTTGGAAATCTGTATAATAAAATGCTAGGGAAAATTCAAGGGCAGTAAAATAAAATTTATAAACAAAACTACTTAAGCAGATTTAGAAATTGGTTAAGGACATATGACCCCATAAGGAAAGTATCTCAGAGAAAATAGTTACGACTTACATCACACACAAAATGTTCATCTCCTTAATATATAAGAAAAAAACAAAAGCCCAATGTTTTAAAATGTGAAAAAGAAATGAACAGACGATTCACAGAGAAACAGATACGAACAGTCTTTAAGTCTATGAAAAGATGCTCAACATTGCTCATAATAAAAACAATGCAGGGGCGCCTGCGTGGCTCAGTAGGTTGAGCATCCCCCTCTCGATTTCGGCTCAGGTCATGATGCCAGAGTTGTGGGATCGACCCCCACATCAAGCTCCGCACGGAGCGTGGAACCTGCTTAAGATTCTCTCTCTCCCTCTGCCGCTGTCCCCACCTCTCTGTCTCTCTCTCTCTCTCAAAAAAAAAAAAAAAAGAAAGAAAAGCCATTTGAAACTTCTCCTAAGTAGCATTCCCCACCTGTAAAATTAGCAAAAATTCAAAAGCTGGAAAACACACTGTCATGCTTTGCTGGTGGGCACGCAAGATCATAACCTTGGTGGAGAGAAACCTGACAACAGCCAGCTAAAAGAGCAGCGAACGCGTTGAGATGCCTCTCCCAGGATTATACTGTGGAGCCCCTACCAGCATGTAACGAGCAGTGGAGAGAGAGAGAGAGAGAGTGGAGTCAAGCTGGATACCTTCAAAGAACAGAAAGGAAGCATCTCCGGCACAGGTGGGGCTATTTTTCACTTTCTATTTTGAAGATTGTTACACTTATGGAAGTGACGAGAACAGCGTCCGTGAGTATTCATCTAGAGTCACCGCTCATTATTATTTGCTTAATTTGCTTTTCTGTCTCTCCATGCGCATGTGACGACGAGGACAATGACGATGATGATTGATTGATGGACTGTTTGAAAGTAAGTTGAGACATCATGATCCTTCACCTCCCAAAGCTGCAGCCAGTAATTCCTAAGAAGAAAGACATTGTCCTAAAGACAACAAGGCAGTGATGGAATTGGGGAAATTGATCACTGACTATTTTTTTAAGGATTTTATTTTTAAGTAATCTCTATGCCCACTGTGGGGCTTGAACCTACAACCCTGAGATCAAGAGTCGCCCGCCCCCACTGACTCAGCCAGCCAGGCACCTGACATGTACTTTTTTTTTTTTTTTTTTTTTTTTTTTATGTAGACTTGTCCAGTGCGGGGTTTGAACTCACGATGCTGAGATGAAGACCTGAGCTCAGATCAACAATTGGATGCTCAGTCCACTGAGCCACCCAGCTGCCCCGACATGTACTATTTTTTTAAGTTTATTTATTAATTTTTTTTTTGAGAGAGAAAGAGAGCACGAGCAAGGGAGAGGCAGAGAGAGAGGGAATCCCAAGCAGGTGCAGAGCCCAATGCAGGGCTTGAACCCACGAACAGCGAGATCATGACCAAGAGTCAGACGCTTAACCGACTGAGCCACCCAGGCGCCCCATGTACTATTCTTCTTTTTTCTTTTTTTTTTTTTTCAACATTTATTTTATTTTTGGGACAGAGAGAGACAGAGCATGAACGGGGGAGGGGCAGAGAGCGAGGGAGACACAGAATCGGAAACAGGCTCCAGGCTCCGAGCCATCAGCCCAGAGCCTGACGCGGGGCTCGAACTCACGGACCGCGAGATCGTGACCTGGCTGAAGTCGGACGCTTAACCGACTGCGCCATCGAGGTTGAGAAACACCGTGAATTTTGTGGAACAAGGGGTTTGTTATGGGAAGAAGATTTTAACACAATCGCGGCCGACGGGGGGAAAAGAAGGAAGGTCCGGAGAGGGGAGTTGAGGGACCAGTGGAAGGTTACCAGAGCTCCGGAAGCCCTGATGCCGGTGGGCCAGTCAGAGCTTTCAGGAAAATCCGGGAAGCTGGCCTAGCCAGCTGCCAGAGTGGGATCTCAAAGGACGACTGGTGAGGAAGTCTCTGGAAGTTTCTGGAAGGCCTCTTCACCTGGTGGGGGGCCTGGGGTCACTGTTGGTCAGGCAAGGCAGAAGGTTGAGATGAACAGAGTGTGAGGGAAACAAGTTTACAAAGCGCTGTGCCCCCAGACCCCCCTTCCGCACCCCCAAGGACAGCAGAGAGCAAGGGTAAGCAGAACTCACTGGCACATTCACATTTGCCTCTTGCCACTTCCAAGTAGAACCACCACCCAGAAGGGATGACAAACTTCATTTCTTCCTTTGACTTTTCATGCAGTTTCCTCTGTGGCCAGCTCTAACCTTGAACTACAAGGGGAAAAGGATTTTTTTTTTTTAAGTTTATTAATTTTTAAGAGAGAGAGACCGTGACTACAGAAGGGGCACAAAGGGAGACACAGAATCCCAAGCAGGCTCCAGGCTCCGAGCTGTCGGCACAGAGCCGGACACGGGGCTCAAACTCACAAACTGCGAGATCATGACCTGAGTCAAAGTCAGACACTTACCGGACTGAGCCACCCAGGCGCCCCAAGCAGAAGGGGACTCTGAGGAAGGTAGGTGCAGCTCAGCCCAGTTGACACGGTATAAAACCAGCAGAGGGGCGCCTGGGTGGCTCAGTCGGTTGAGCGTCCAACTTCGTCTCAGGTCGTGATCTCACGGGTCCATGAGTTTGAGCCCCGCGTCAGGATCTGTGCTGACAGCTCGGAGCCTGGAGCCTGCTTGGGATTCTGTGTCTCCCTCTCTCTGCCCCTCCCCCACTCATGCCCTGTCTCTCTCTCTCTCTCTCTCTCTCTCTCTGTCAAAAATTAATAAACATTAAAAAAAAAAAAAAACTGCCAGAGAAGTGTGCCCGGTGTTCTCGATTCCCTAGAACTTCTGTGACAGTGGTATTCCTTCCTCAGGTGTCTAGAAGATTTCACCAGTGAGATCATCTGGGTCTGGATTTTTGCGGAAGAGTTAATTTGGGGTTAAGTTTCTTTGATAGATATGAGTTCAGATTTCCTATTTCTCCCTGGGTCAGCTGTGGTTGTTTTGTTTTTCAAAGAATTTATCTGCGGGGCGCCTGGGTGGCGCAGTCGGTTAAGCGTCCGACTTCAGCCAGGTCACGATCTCGCGGTCCGTGAGTTCGAGCCCCGCGTCAGGCTCTGGGCTGATGGCTCAGAGCCTGGAGCCTGTTTCCGATTCTGTGTCTCCCTCTCTCTCTGCCCCTCCTCCGTCATGCTCTGTCTCTCTCTGTCCCAAAAATAAATAAACGTTAAAAAAAAAAAAAAGAATTTATCTGCTTCATCCGAATTTTCAAATGCATTGACAGGAAGTGGTTCCTAATATCCTCTTATTACCCTTTTTTATGCTTGTGGGATCTTTAGTGATGTCTTATTTTGATTCTTGATATTGGTAATCTGTTTTCTCTTCCCCCTGCCTTTCATTGCCCTTAATAGAGACTTGTTGATTATATTAACCTTTGAATTTTTTAAAGACTTTTTATTTTTAATTATTTATTTATTTATTTTGGAGAGAGAAAAAGGGTGCGAGTAAGCAAGGGGCAAAGAGAGAGAGAGAGAGAGAGAGAGGGAGAGAGAAGCAGGGCTCACCCTAAGTGGGGCTTGAGCTCACCAGAACCAGGACTCGAACTCATGAACTGTGAGATCATGACCTGAGCTGAAGCCAGATGCTTAACTGATTGAGCTGCCCAGCCACCCTAAGATTTCTTATTTGTAAGTAATCTCTGAGCCCAGTGTGGGATTTGAACTCACGACCCTGAGGTCAAGAGACACGTGGCCTACCGAAGCCAGCCAAGGGTCCCTAACCTTTTTCTTCTTGATGTTTGTTTATTTGTTTGTTTTTGAGAGAGGGAGAGGGAGAGAGAGAGAAGGGGGGCAGAGGGAAAATCCCAAGCAGGCTCCACGCTGTCAGTGCAGAGCCCGCTGCGGGTCTGAATCCCACAAACTGAGATCACGACCTGAGCCGAAATCAAGAGTCGGAGGCTTAACCAACTGAGCCACCCAGGTGCGGCCAGTGCCCCTAAACTTTCAAATACACAGCTTTGCCTTATTGGTTTTTATGTTGTATTTTTTCTATTTGGTTGATTTCTGCTCCTATCTATAGTACTTTATTTCCTACTTTGTTTTTACTTTGTTCTTTTTCTACCTTCTTAGATATCTGGCTTTTGAATTTTACTTTCTACTGTACGTATTAAAGCTATATACACTTCCCTCTAAACCTAGTATTTATGGCATCTACAAGTTTTGCAAGTGTTACATGTTTACTATCACTCAGTTAAAAATGATTCCTTATTCCCATTTTATTTCTTCTCTGACTCATGAGCCATTTAGAAGTATGCTGCTTAAGGGGCGCCTGGCTGGCTCAGTTGGTTAAGTATCTGACCTCAGCTCAGGTCATGATTTCAGAGTTAGTGAGTTCAAGGCCTGCGTCAGGCTCTCTGCCGTCAACACAGAGCCTGCTTCGGATCCTCTCTTCTCCTCTTTCTCTGTCCCTCCTCCACTGACTCTCTATCTCTCTCTCTCCCCCTCTC